CACAGTGCTCTCACACACACACACACACAAACACACACACACACACACACACACACACACACACACACACACACACACACACAGAGTACATGGGAGGATATGCACAGCTTATATGCAAATACTATGCTATCTTATATAAATTGGTGACTATTGCATAATTATAGCTGAGTGAGGTAGCACATGATTATAATCAAGAAGTAGACACAGGAAAATATTTGTAAGTTCAAGCCTTGCTTGGTCTAAATAGTGAGTTCCGGGACAGTCAGGAGATACATAGTGAAATTCTATATCAAAAAAGACCAAAAACATAATGTATAAATTATATCAGAATAAAAATGATACAAAAAAAATTTTTTGGTGTTTTTGAGACAGTCTCCCTGTAGTCCCAGCTGGCCTGGAACTTGCTATGTAGACCAGGCTGGCCTTGAACTCACAGAGATCCGTCTCCCATGAGCCACCATGCCCGGCAATACTTACAAATTTTACAGTACTTACAAACATCATTGCAATCGGCGTCACTCAGGTTCTTAGCAGTGCAAAACTTATTTAGTTCAAAGTTGTAATACAAGTTGGAAAATGCCATGCCCAGGCAGTGCCCAGGAAGTATTAGGAAAATATGATCCAAGGAGTGTGAGAGTTCTGGGTAGCCCAGATCTGCAAAGAGAATAGGAAACACTAATTTCACGTGAAGGGAAAGCACACCTCACCATCTCTCCTAACTCACCTCTTTGGTCTGAACCATCATACACCTGGGTCTCCAGATCAGAAACATGGTTTCCCTGACCCCTGGTATTAACTCTCCCTCTATTCATTCAACCTTTAAGCCAAGAGTATTTTTATTTGCTCAGTTCCTTGACTCACTTTATTTCCATTACATTTCTTCTTGTAGGAGAACCTGAAAGAGCACAATGTGTATAAGAAAATTAGGGCTCTCCCTGGCTACAGCAGGGCCATGTGGTACAGTGGAAAGGCAGAGGGAGGTGGGTTTGAAGTGAGCTGGGACCAGAAAGTACAGGCCTAGGAGCCAGCTATGGAGTTACTGGACTGTCTTTTTTGTTTTTTCCTTTTTTTTCCTGTACTGGAGATTGAATCTAAGGCTTCACACATGCCAGGCAAGCACTAAGCTAGATATCCAGTTCTGGAATATCATTATATAGTCCCTTCCTCCAGAGTTTATGGAGACTGAATTATTATTAAGGGTCCCTTAGAAGAAAGGATGATTCCCCATATAAAAGCAGAAGGAAATTATAAATCAAATTTTAGGTAAAAAGAAAGAAAGAGGGGCTGGAGAAATGGCTCAGTGGTTAAGAGCACTTGAAGCTCTTCCAGAGGACTGGAGTTTGGTACCCAGCACCCAAGTCAGATATCTCACAACCACCTGTGTGTCCTAAGCATCCTGTTTCTTCTGAGGGGCGGGGCCTGCTGCAGAGAATTGACTGTGGAGAGTTATCATTGGAGGGAGGGGCTTTTCTGCACCATCTTGGACAGGAGCAGGGAAGGTGTTCGGTGGCCGGGTGAGGGGGAATGGAGTGGCCCAGCATTTACTGACCTGGGGCGAGACTGCGGGCCCATGAGGCATGGGTGAACCTTAGCAGTGACTATGGGTAGGCCACAGGAGTGATCTGAAGTGGCGGGCTTGCGATCTGGATTGGTGGGCTCTGAGCCACTGTGCAGAGCTGGACACAGGGTGTTTGTTTCTTTGTGAGTTACCCCTCCCCCAATGGTATAAACTATAATAAATTCACATAAAGATATGTTATATGGATTGTCTGATAGCGCCCAGAGCAAGAGACCCTGAAGAGACTGAGGGCAGTCAAACAGAGAGTGGGAAGGAGAAAATTTAGTGGGACAAATTGGCATAGTTGGCAGGATGGCAGGGCTAGAAATGACAAACTGCAGACACTTGGAAAAAGCTAGAGAGCTGATGGCTGTGCTGATGTGGATTTTACAATGGATTATAAAATATGTAACTAAAAAGGGGCCAGCCATGCAGAATCGTGGGGTACAGCTGTGTTGTAAATGTGGGGGTATATTGTGGGTATGTGAAGATTTGTTCAAGGTTGTGAGAGGCTAGAAAAACTTTTATTGGCTTTGGAAACAAAGGGAGAGCCCAGGGAGGGGGCGTGGCCACTTGCATAATAAAAGATGTGCCCCAGGCAGGGGAAGCTGAAAGGGCTACAGAGGTCCTGGCAGATCCAGTTGCAGAGCTTGAGAGAGGAAAAAAAACTGGACATTTTAACTTGTGTAAGGCCCAAGGACTCAGAGGAAAAGTCAGTAATAGTAAAAAAGATGACCTAAAAATAAAAGTAGCTAAAACTGCCCCTCAGAGTCAACCATTGCTACAAAAGGGAAAAAAAGCTAACAGTGCTATAGCTAGGAAATATTCCACACTGGAACTGTTAAAACTAGTTAAAACTTACAAGCAAGCAACCAAAGAGCCCCTAGCCACATGGCTTGTGAGAGTATGGGACATGGGAGAAAATGATGTCAGTCTAAGTCCTTCAGAAGCTTCACAGCTGAGTTATATAACCACCCATCTGTCCTTGTGATTATAGGCTGTTCAACCTAGGCTAATGCAGGGAGAGCAGTCCTTAATGGGGTGGCTGGTTGAAGGCATTAAAGATACACAGTTGTCACCAAGGGAGACTAACATGATTAGCAGGGGCTGGAGAACTAGGTATGAAAAAAAGCAATATATGATGTCCAGTTCACTGGGCCAGATTAGACTGTGTTCACCAGAGATATGAAAGAAAGCTTAATTCAACTGGGACTTTGAGAATGGTATGGGGCTTTAACGGTTTTGCTAAGCCTTTAAGGGGACAGGATCTTTGTAAAGTGAGAGAGGCTTTGGCAAATCTAAATGATTCTGACCAGCATGTAAAATGTGTCTGTAGAATAACAGAACACCCTATAAGAGATATAAAAAAGACCAGACAGAAGAAATGGTCCATTTGGGTTACCGGAAGATAAATGTGGCAAGACTTATGTCAAGCCCAAATTTCCAGAGAAAAAATGGATAGAAAACCAAATTCAGTACTAAGGAGTTTCTGGAAGGCTTTAAAACCTGGAAGAACAGTTTACAAAAGGCATTTAAAGGAAAGGATAATACCAAGAGACTCCATGTAAAATCCCCCAAGTGCAAAATGACTCCAAAGGGATAACTAAAGATGGTAAAGAGCTAACCAAATTAATCCCTCATACCCATTCTATGGTACCTAACAAGGATCTATGGAGAAACAGTTAATATGAATGGATAAAACCTTTCCATGCTATGTGAGACCTTGTCTATGATTGATTTAATATATAATGTTAATCTTCCTTTGAGTGTTTTACAGATGTGAAACCCATTTGAAAGATACCTGAAGAAGCAAAGGCCAGCTATAGCTGTAAGATTCTTGGGAATTTTACGGTTGGGTAAGATGAAGACAGACTCCTAAACTATACAACTGCTAAGAAAATCTACAGTACCAGGGGTGGGTTGCCCCCCTATGTGCTGTTGGTCAGAGAGAGATCCTAGAGGTCCTCAAATTCACCAAGGCTATTGTCCTTAATGTCAGTTGTACACTAGAAAGGTCAGTAAGGCCATGTTGCTGAAGACACTGCATGATGTGAGTGCAGGAGAAGAAGAAGAGATAGAGCTGAGACTAAGTAAAAAAAACTCCATGCCACTGGATGGATGACGTTCATATTGCCAGAAGGTGCTATGCAGATGGTTGGTTGGGGAAGAAAGGATCCCCTCTGATTCTACTCAACAATGGACCCTGCATGCTGCACACTATGGACATGGCAAGCAATGCCTGCAAATGCAATAATGGCTCGACCAACATATGTACAACTGATAAATTTCTAATTAAATAAGGCCCGCTCCTAGGGGTGGACATCTCGTGCTGTAGACCAGGCCAACGCCTTGTGTTGAGAAAGGCTACAGGCCCTAGCAGGGACAAGTATACTGTTTAATGAATATAGTACTTCTACTGGGATATCTTCTAGGCATTTGCATTTACATTCGTGTTTGTTTAGATGTGTCTACTTCCATTTGTCTTTTTTTGGGGGGGTGTTTTTTATTTTTTGGTCTTTTTGAGACAGGGTCTCCCTGTAGCCCCAGCTGTCCTGGAACTCACTATGTAGACCAGGCTGGCCTTGAACTCACAGAGATCCGCCTGCCTCTGCCTCCTGAGTGTTGGGATTAAAGGTGTGCACCACCATGCCCAACCTTCTATTTGTCTTTATAGGGAAACACCACTGAGATAAATCAACGGCCACAGCTTAATGACCAATAATGGGGAAGCCCAAGAAGTCACTATCTCGCCATGATACAAGAGCGATCTCCCTACATCTGTCACCCCCTCTGAGGCTCAGACACCTTAGCGGAAGATTGACGGAAAGATTGTAAGAGCAGAGGAAAGGGGTGGAGTGTGTCCTAAGCAGCCTGTTTCCTTGAGGAGTGGAGCCTGCTGCAGAGAATTGACTGTGGAGAGTTAGCTGAAGAGGGAGGGGCTTTTCTGTGACATCTTGGACAGGAGCCCAGAAGGCACTCGGTGGCTGGGTGTGCAAGAATGGAATGGTCGGGCATTTACTGACCTGGGGTGAGACTGTGGGCCCACTAGGCATGGGCGAAAGCTAGCAGTGACTATGGACAGGCCACAGGAACGATCCAGAGTGGTGGGCTTGCAATCTGGAGTGGCGGGCTCTGAGCTGGGCACCGGGTGTTCATTTCTTTGTGAGTTACACCTCCCCCCAACAATATAAACTATAATAAATTCACATAAAGATATGTTATATGGATTGTCTGATAGCACCTGGAGCAAGAGACCCTGAAGAGACTGAGGGCAGGTCAAACAGAGAGTGGGAAAGAGAAAATTTAGTGGGACAACCTGTAACTCTAGCTCCAGAGAATCCAATGTTCTCCACAGGCACCCACACACATATGCACATACAAGCACACAGACACACATAAATAATAAAATGAAAAAAAAATTTTTAAAGGGAACTTAGCCCATTTGTCCAACACTAGCTCAGATAGAGACAGTAGCATAAATATGAAAATACTTAGGTGTGGAATAATAACTAAATCTTAGATTCCTTTATCCTATACATTTACCAAGAATTCTAGCCCCAGCTGGCCTATAGTCTAGGCTGGCCTCTATCTCAGAGAGATCCACCTGCCTTTGCCTCCTGAATTCTGGGATTAAAGGTGTGCCCTACCACACCTGGCTTAATTCCACCTTTTTTTTTTTTAAACAACAGAAAGCTATATTTTAGAGAAATGCATGGATCACAGGTGGACAATGATTTATAAACACATAAGTCAATGTTAGCCAGGGGCCAGATCAAGATAAAGAACTTCACTTCAGAAAGTTCCTACTCTGTTCTTTTAGTCAATCTCTTTCTTTCAACCCAAAGGCAACGCTTTTACTGATTCTGTCCTCAGGATCAGGTTTTTTTGTTTTGTTTTGTCTTTTTGAAGCAGGGTCTCCCTGTAGCCCCAGCTGTCCTAGAACTCACTATGTAGACCAGGCTGGCCTTGAACTTACAGAGATCTGCCTGCCTCTGCCTCCCAAGTGCTGGGACTACAGGTGTGCACCACCACACCTGGCTTCAGGATTAGTTTTGCCTCTTCACACTAGACATAGCAGACATTTTTCTCAACATTATATCTTGGTATTTAGCTGCACTATTCTATGTTCCTTTTTACTGCTGAACACTAATCTACTGAATGAATGTGGGTGAATGGCTCATCCATCCACCTGTAAATGTGTTTGAGGCACTCCAGTTGGAAATCTTTAGCCTACAGCAACCATCACTTTCTCAAAGGTCTTTAGTGGACACAGTTACAATCGCTGCTAAAGGAGATAAATGCTTTGTACAATATGCAGATATGACCTCACCTCTTTCACCAGTGACTGAGATGAGCACGATGGGGCAGATGCTCAAGAAGGTGAGCATGATGGTAAGCTTAACACAAGCAGTACCAGGACTCTCAAAAGAGAAACTGACCATATAGATGAGGGGGATGACAGCCCACCAGTAGAGCATCAACATTGAGACTACAGCCAGGATGCTGTCGCGGTGTGTGAAAGCTTCTTCATCGTACCATAAAAACACCAACTTAAAAGGGGAGAAGGAAAAATTTGGAAAAGTCAGTGAGAGCCCATCACAAACACTAAGAATATAGTAATTTCAGTTTTGATTGATTTTTTTGTGTGTATGTGGGGGGAGGGGTGCTGCTTGTATGCCAGAGGCTTTTGTGTGGACTTCAGAGGACAGCATTCTCCTGCCACTTTGTAGGGTCCAAGGATTGAACTCAGGTCATCAGGCTTGTGAGCAAACATCTTTCACTGATGAGCCATCTCACAGGCACATAGTCTCAGTTTAAAAAGTAATGTCTTAGTAATATTCCACAATCATTCTTTCTTTCCCTTATTCATCATGAACTGATAAGCAAGCCCTGAGGTCCAGTCTCAGAATCCTGCACTGAGTATCAGTAGCATAGTGCAAAGGGATGCAAAGATGCTTACAAAACACACCTATAGAACAAAGCAAGAAGTTATTCATTCTATACAAAATAATCAGACAACCCTGAACTACTTGATTCAATTACAACCAAATACTTCAATGTCTGCTCTCTGATGATTTTTTTTTTTTTGAGACAGGATCTCACTATGCAGCCTTGGGTGGTCTGAAATTTGCTATATAGATTGGGATAGCCTCAAACTCAGAGATTCACCTGCCTCTGCCTCCTGAGTGCTGGGATTAAAGGTGTGTACCGCCACGCTCAGTCTGATGATCTATTTCTGATTATTATATGCATTTCTCCAAAACATTGCCTCTCACTAACGAGGTAGCAGATCTTTGGGTGCCACATAAGGACCGTAGAACAGGTCCCTTTGTTTATGAAGATGTCAGAGTTGAATCACCTTTTACCAGGGTATGCTGGATAGCTTCAGTTGTCACACTTGACACACCTGGGTATAGGGAACCTCAATTGAGGAATGTCCTCCATTGGAATTGGCCTGTGGCCATATCTGTTGGGGGAATTTTCTTGATGACTGGGTAATGTGGGAGGCAGCCCACTGTGGGTAGTGCCACCCCTAAGCAGGTGGTCCATGGTTATAGAAGAAAGTAGGCTGAGCATAGGCCAGGGAACCAAGCCAGTAAGCAGCATTTCTCCATGGTCTGTGCTCCAGGTTCCTTCCCTGATTTCCTACCTTGGCTTCCCTTGATGATGGACTGTGGGCTGTAAGCGAAATAAACCTTTTCTTTCTCAAGATGGTTTTGGTCAGTGTTTTTTTCTTTTCTTTTTTAAAATTTATTTAGGTCAGTTTTTTAAAATATATTTTTA